TTTTTTGAACCGAGACTCTTGCGATCAGCTTCTACACCCTTGTCCACAGGCTTGATTAGTGCTCGCCGGGCCAGGATCCCCAAGCACACCGCACTCGTGGCGAGATGCCGAGGCTAAGTACGCACAATACGCATTATCTTACGAGCTACACTGTCAGCTTCTACACCCTGAACCCTAAACCAAGGCCCTCAGGGTTCTGGTTGTAGGCTTTTCCGTTGGAAATGCTGGAGAGGCTTAAGGCTCAGGGGCTTCCAAGCCAAAATCCTGGAGCTGGGCTTCGCTCTCGTAACCATACATAGAAATGATGAGGAGGCCTAGAAGGTTTTCCAGTGTTACTTATCATAAAACAAAACCCTTAATGTAAGGGCCTAAATAAATCCCCTATACTATTTTGGGGGTTCCTTATTACACTTATAGCATAATGGGCCCCAAATATCTATATCTATATCTATATATATATATATGTATATATATACACATACTAATTATTAAGACCCCTGTATTGCATCATCCATCCCCCTGGGGCCTTCCCCGACTCCTCCGACGCCTCCGCGTCGGGAGCGAGGCTTCCGAGCCTTTGGGAAGCCTTGGATCTATAGCGCTTTAGAGCTTGGGATTATGGGAAGTTTCCGAAAGAAGGGGACCCTTAATATAATACCCTAAATACTACGATCTTTATTATACGGATCCCAAAATAAGGTATCCCTAATTTTCTCAAACTCCCAATATAGCTTCCAAGGATGAAGCTGTAGGTTTCACTTTAGGGGTTGAGGGCCTGGAGAACTTCAGAGTTTAGGAGTTTAGCTATGGTTTGAGGATGACACTTGAAGCTTTGTTTCAAGGGTTTCAGGTTATGGGTACAATTATTCAGTGATTCTTCAGATCGCCATAGATCTCTGCTAACACTGTTGTTGCTCCTTTGGACAAGTGAGCCCGGATACTGCACTTACCTTTCCATGCCGTTTTTTGATGTGGGGCCCCTGTGCCTTGGGTCTTAATCTACCACTATCTAGACGGCCTTCGCCCAACATCAAGACAAGCAGACGAAGAAGGAAGAAGCAAAAGGATCCGCCAAGCAAATTAGGATCTGCAGTGAGATTCGTGCTGCGCAGATTTCATGCAAAACCGAAAGCCCTGAACCCACTTTAAGCACTTTGAAAACTTGTGACAAAGCCCTTGAAGCCGGAAAGCTCTCGTCGGCACGGGATCTGGCACTTTCGGACCGTCCGCCTGCACTCAGCCAGGTTGCAATGGTTGCAGGCATGGTTCATGTAGGCATAGCGTTTCAAGGAAATTTGTTGGTGGGCATGAAGTTTGCTGTGACCTGTCATTGTCTACTTTTCGCCTTGAAGGCTTAGGGGTAGGACCCCGGCGTCTCAGGAAGAAGGACTGCAAGCCTGCAATATACAATACCACCACCAATCCGTGGCCACCTGCGGCAACCCACCCTCGGGGCAAGCAGTTGATACATCCCGACAGAACCTTCCTAAACGCAATGACAAAACCTTTAAACTTTAGTATCCAACAAACAATAAAGAGTATCCAGAGATCCCACCTCTGCGCTTTCACTTGAGTCTTCGCTTTCTGCTGCCAGCAGCTCACGCTTCGCTCGTTCCAGATCGGCATTCGCCGCCTGGGAGTTCAGTTGCGACATCCTACACGCTCTACTCCACCCATAGGCCCCAAAGTAGTTCCTTTTTGGGGCTCATACAAAGAATTCAATAAGGCAAACCCAAAAAGGAACTACTTTGGGGCCTATGGGTAAAGTCTACGCACTGATCAGCCATGCATCCTAGAAGCCCTTTGCAATGAAACCTGGACACCCCACACCAGACATGCTAAAGCCCGGGGAGCTAAAGCCCTAAACAGCAAATCCCTAAATGCTACACCCTACCACCTATATCCCTATGCTCACCAATATCTTGAAGCCTACATAAACCTAAATCCTATATCCCAAAGCCTCAGCCCTAAACACTGGCCTTTTACCCTTAATCTTAAACCCCGAAGCCCCTACTTTACCGAAACACCTACAGCTTATACCCAAAAGCTTAGAGGCTCCAGGGTTCTTACGGCTGTAGACCTTCGTGTTTGTTGTTGGTGTTGACAAGTGTCATTCATTATTTCGGATGGCAGGGGGTCTAGGTTGGCTTTAGGGTTGGATGTCTGGCACCCATTGAAATACTTTCTCCCGTGGATTTTTAGGTGATGGTCCAACTGTATATTTGCTACATTGTAGAGATTTCATAGTTCAAGTCGGGTCATATATTAGTTCCGCGACAAGGGTCGTCACATGGACAGTAACCGCTAACACGCGCTACAGTCACAGGAATGCAGAGGAATGGAGCTGCGAATCGATTGGGCTCATCACCGAATCCGACGGGCAGTTAAGCACGATTTCGCGAACCTCGACACTAGATATTGATGGAACCTTCTAAACTTTGGAACTCGCAGAGCCGTGGAGTAGCACGAGCAAGCCCAGCACAAGCTGCAAGCAAGCGACCCTGGCGATCCGATGTATGCATGAACGGAACGAGCGTAAGAAGACAATTTTGAGCAACCTCAACAACACAACAATCGCCGACATGAGCAGCATTACCACACTTTTATCCCAGCGAAGAGTTGACTATTCTCTTGCTGCAGACGTGAGGTGTCGAGCCTTCATTGCTTCGTAGGCCTTTTGCCACTCTTCGGCTGTGGCGTTTTCCCCCGGGGCTGCCGGCAGTGCCGGGGAATCTGAGCCCTTCAGCCCCTCGCTGCGCTCGACCTCCAGCCTCGCTGTCGGGGAAGTTTACTATAGGGGCCTTAATAATAATCAACATAGGGTTTTGGGGTATTGTATACTATAACTATAATGAGGACTCCCAAAATGGTATTGGTAATTGTTTAAGCCCCTGTATGGTAGGGTTTCTGCAAGGGAGACGAATTTCACAACACGAAGGAACCACCAGAGGTTCATGATGGCAGTAGCAACCATGCCTGCTGTTGCAAAAAAACTGGGGAAGCGAAAAGGCATCAGTTCTAACAAGTGGGGACCCATGCTCGCACTTTGGGCTTCCGGGGCTCGAGATGTGAGGCGAGCAAAGAAGAATCATCCGAGCGACTGGTAGGCTTTCTGCCAAAGCTCCCTCAACTCGTCAGCTTTTGGCTCAGAAGCTGCCCGGACGACTTTGCCAGCATTCCGATGCCAGCTCCGTTGCACTTGCCGCTGTGTGCGGGATACGGCACAGGCGCAAACCCCAAGCAGTGGCACGGCTTTGCGTCCTCCAAGCGGCCTCGCAGCTTCAGAAGCCCTTCTTGGGTTGCTGGGCACGGGGTTGTTGTGGGCACAGAGCGCGCGCAGCACAGGCGATGGAGAGGGTGACAGGCTGGCCATTGCTCTCTGAGAAATTATGGTAATCTGTGCAAGTTATGAAACTCTACGCTGCTGAAGGTAGGGGGATGGCCTACCTTCTCGGATGGTCTGTTGATGTCTTTTGTGAACTGCATTTGTCCTTCCATCGGTATGACTACTTGATGATCACTTAATGATATCTGAAAACAAACTTGAAACATAAAAACAGCTGAGCTTGAACGCCACGAACAGTAATTGGGGCAATAACTTGCTGCATGCACCGGGCCTGAAGCTTTCGATGCCAGTGTCCAAGCATGTGCTCGCGATTTTTCGGCTGCACTCGCTAAGTTTTCGTACTGCACTTCTAGAATGAATTCCTGTACCTAATAGTTGCGGCTTTCTGCCAGCGGGTGAAACACACTTAAGCTGACATGCACACACAGCGGTATATAGGGATGTCGACGAGCCTTTGGTAGACATCCACATGGAAGCAATGCATGTGCAAAGGTTATACGCGAGCATGCAGGTGCAGAGTTTGTATGAGCAGCTAAGCCAGCTAAGCAGAGGAGATAACACTTGCTTTTGTTCGAACATGTTTGTCAGCCCCGTCATTTGCAAGGTGTCCTCTGTAAGTCTTCATATTTACACGTGCATGAATGTATACACCCACGATCATGCATCTGCTGGCTCTTCGTGATCTGGCTCCTCCTTCCGTGCGGCAAAGGCTTCAAATGGGAGTTTCCGAAAATAGGGGACCCAAATATAGTACCCTATATAGTAGGATCCTGATTATAAGGACCCCAAAATAAGGAACCCCCAATTTTCGGAAACTCCCGAATAGGTCTAGGAGCTTTGGCACTACTTGGGTTACGAATCTCCGGGCTTCAGGGCCCAAAGCAAAATGCAGCGGGATCGAGGCCCAAAAACACATTATACTATATGATGCAATAATATATACCATAATATACTATACTATGATATACTATAATACACGATACTATGATATACAATGATATGCTATACTATATGCTATAATATATATATATATACATACACACACCCTTATCTGAGACCAAGTGACGAAGCCGTAGCCCAAAGTCAGCTCTTGGGGAGCATCCCAGCACCAAAACTTCCGTGGGTAAAGAAACATACCTCAGCGAGGCAAGTTTGGTCAACATGGACTCTTGAATTCTGTCTGCAATATGGTGTCTATCATCATGACCATTTTCTTTGGTACTGCTGCTGCTGTTATTCTCGTCGTTGGGCTAATTAACTATTACTACCACCAATGACCAGTAGTAACTACTGCGATTACTATTACTACTACTACTACTCCTCCTCCTGCTGCTGCTGCTGCGACTACCACGAGTATTACCACTACCACTACCACTTCCACCACCACAGCCACTACTTCTACTACTACTACTACTCCTGCTTCTACTACTACTACTACTACTACTACTACTACTACTACTACTACTGCTACTGCTTCGGGGTTCAGGGCCAAGGGCCAGGAGTTGTAGGTCTCAATCCGTCCCAATCCGTCCCTCCCTCTGTCTCTCTCTCTCTCTCTCTCTCTCTCTCTCTCTCTCTCTCTCTCGTTCGATGAGAATCCGCAACTAAGTATTCTGCGGTTGTTATGTAGGTGGCCAGGGAGATGAAGCTGCGGATGATGACGAGAATAATGAGACGGCTGTCAACATGGTAAAGGTGCGGTGGACCGTGGTGTTGTTGATGATGACAAACCCTTTCTAGATCTAAATTAAATCCTGCCCGAAGACGGCGAGAGGCAACCCTACGCCATGTCCTACATCCTTTTTTGAACCCAGACTTTGTCGATCAGCTGGGAAGCACTGCAAGAATTAGGACATCCTAAACCTTAAACCCTCCGCACCAGAACCTATATCCTACGCTCTATAACTTACACCCTAGATGCTAGATCCTACACCCTAAGGAACCCTAAGCCCCATACCCTAAACTCTGCAACCCTGCGACCCGAAACCAAATTATATGGGGGGCCTTAATAATTACAATAGGGTTTTGGGCTATATACTATACGTATGATAACAAAACACAGAAATAGTATATAGAACTCCAGTATAGATCCCTTATAGAACCGCTTAAAGAACCCTCCAAGGAACCCCAATCTAATTGTTATATAAGACCCCTACATTATAGAACTCTATGATAAACCCCTGAAAGACGCCCGTAAAGAACGCTTAAGGGAACCCTATTCTAATTATTAAAGCGCCTACAGTATCCTGGTGACTCCGAGCAGCTCTTGAACTCGACCCGAGTGCCATCCTCGGCAGGCCGTGCACACGGGACCATCACCAAGTTGTTCCGGTCCTTGCAGAGAGGGCTATAGGGTCTATGGTTTATAGGGCTTATAGGGTTTTTAGGGTTTAGCATTGAGGGTTCAGGCTTTATCGAAGCCCTATAAGCAAGTTGTTCCCGTTCTCGTGGTGGTTTGCTCGGGGGCTTCGGTCTTCAGGGTTTGGAGTTTAGGCCTTTAGTGGTTTATAATTTGTGCTTGGGCTCTGGCGTTCAATAGTTTAGGACTGTGGGTGTCTGTTTAGTGGTTGAAGCTTTTTCTGAACGAGCAGTAAGGCACCCTAAGCCCTAAGCCTTAACCCTCATAGGTCTGACTCGTGGGAGTGCAGGTTCGAGCTCAAATGTCCGGCCTGCCAGCTCTGACGCTGAGGTTGAAGAACTTAATAGGTCTATTGTAACACCCAAAATGACAATGACAACAGCAGAAATGATCATAACGATCACAGCAAAAATTAACAGAACACAAAAATCAATGCCACCAAGAAACCATGATTTTACAGGGTGTTTTGTGAGCATGCTTTGAAGGGAGTCGCTGCAAACATAAACTATGACCACGAGAGTTTACGGCGCTAGGTACGGCCCTGACTCCGTGATTCACAAGAGGTTTGTGATCCATCTTCGGCTACTCAAGCTCTCCCGTTAAGCATCCTTCCTGCAGGACGGGTGGGGCTTATGGTCTACGGGTTGAGGGCTTAGATGATCAGGACCGCCATGTAGAGTAATGTAATGTAGCTAGCTGCTACATCGTCGAATCCCCTTAAGCACCATATATTATGTGAACATGGAAGGACGACGCGAAGAACGGCGCAGAACCATTCTAAAATGCTACGAAGCTTCAGCGTCTTTTACGTTGTACTCGGCCTGGTCTTTGCAGCACCCGTACAACCTGCGGCAGGAAGACAGGGGCTGGCTTTTAGCATCAAGCTTGTTTCTTCTCGAAACTGGGTTTGCTGGCTTTCTCCTAAACCCTTTTGTGCACAGACTCCTGAACCCTAGGAGCTGAACCCTAGGCCTAAACCCCACAAACGTCTACATTTACTTCAATTCTATGATTTTCTTTTGTTGCTCACACTCGGCAATACCAGGTGCTAGGCACTTCTATAATGACGGGATTTCACTACCACCAAAACGTGTAATTAAAGTGTACACATCCAGCCAAATTACTAAGTTGAGGTGCTGACTCACTTTTGTGTTCTTTCGGGGGGGGGGGGTAGGCCATTGCATTTCTACGTACATGGTCACGAGCCTTCCAAAGTGGGAGCTTGTGTCTCAACCCGACTTCATTGCATCAGGACTTCTGCAATCGCCTGAGCGCGATCCATGTCGAATCCTTTCAATAAAAACCCAAAGTCCCTGAACCGTCAACCCCAAACCCCATACGGCTGATGGACACAATCCTGCATTACCCATAATAAGGAATATACCAAAATTCCAATAATTTAAGGTCCTTGGGGTAATGCAGGATTCTGTCCATCAACAATAGTAGTTCTGGGCAAGAATCGCATCATTGGCCATGGCTGCGAGATTCGAGGCGTCGTTCCTGGGTCAGCGGACACGGACCAAGAGGGGTCGGAAAGTAGAGCTCCCCAAGAATTCCATGGGGTGCTCCCAGAGGAGACGACAGACAAGAGGGGCCGGAAAGTACAGCCCCTCAAGAATTCGATGGGGTGCTCCCAGAGGAGACGACAAGACAAGAGGGGTCGGAAAGTATAGCCCCTCAAGAATTCGATTGGGTGCTAAGCACCCGAGACATTTACGCAGCAATAGCATTTGAGTGAGACCGAGGTTCCAGGCCACGTAGGATTTGTATGGCTCAGACAAAGCATAACCTGAGATCGTAACTCTTGGATCCGCGGTTCATGGGCACTTTTGTTGCAGCTCGACAATCGGGACTTGATGGGTGCCGACTGTGCAGATGAAACTGAAACGAGCAAGAGCATCGCTGCAGAGACTGGCTCAGTGGCTGAAAACTTTGCCTTCCTTCCTATAATGTAGGGCCCATAGGCGTGCATTACAGGGAGTCTGCTGCTGCTTCCGAAACTTCTTTGCAAGCATGGGCACACTGCTCGTCCTCATCCCAGGTGATGTGTTGAGAGCACCGCCCCTCTTCCAGCCACTCGCGCAGTGTCTCGTGCAGCGGGCGGAGGGTGCCCCACAGCTCCCCTGTGGTGTATTCGTCACGAAACCATCCTGTCAGCCGAACACGCAGGCTACTACAGTTTTGGAAGTGCAGTTCGAGCGCAAATATTCAGCGGAGTATCTTATTAAGACTTGTTTTATATTCATTTATCACCGATGACAAGACATGTGGAATGTCTCGATGGAGCCCGACTTCGGCAGTCTGAAACAATCGAAAATGCATTACCAGTTGCCACAGGGATGCCGAACTTTCCACCAAAGACCTCGTTTCTCCGGTAGGAAAATCAAAGTCTCAGAAGAAGCTACCAACAGAAACTCTACTTCGCGGAAGCAAATCGAAAAAGGCCCTAAACCAATGAACAAACAGTTCTAATTAAACCCAAATAACAACCTAAGTTTGTAGCGAAGAGGCCACGCAAACCATAAACTCTGACTCCGGTGACTTCTCGTCGCAATGCCTCTCCGCTTCATCGTCCTCCAGGAAACCTAGGAGCGCGGCGCCACAAGCGGGCAGGAGGGTTCGGTTCACGGCTCATAGGGTTTAGAGATAAGTTTCGGCGCTCACACTCGGACAATCCAGACGAGGCATGTGGTTCGAGGTCTGTTGAGTGAAACGGCTCTAGTGGGAATGTCAAATCAGAGATAAGTTTAGGGTTTGTGGAGTTTGGAGCATTAAAAAGGCTTTTCGGCCTAGGGTTTAGGATTTGTGTTGTTTGGAGGGTTAGGGGCTTCGATGCTCACAACTCTGGGCAACCCAGGCAGGGTTACCGATTGAGGGGTTCGGGGTTACATAGGGTTACCTTTCTCGCCTGTAGTTCCTGTCTTTCGAGTTGGTCGATCTTTGTTGGTAACTGCATGCCTAGGACCCCTGGAATGAAGACACCGAGGTGAAGAAGGGTCAACTCTCCCAAACCCTAAACGAAACCCCTAAACCCCGAACCCCTAAAACCTAAACCGCTGCGAGTCCCAGCCCGACTCCCCTGACCGATAGCAGCTTAGCTGCCGTCCACCCCAAGGGAGCGGTCTCGTAGCAGCTCAAGAGGAGCCGGGGGACCCTTAGCAGTGGTGAACCTCGACTTCTTTTGTCGGGGGCGGCCTTAATAATTAGACTAGGGCTTCGGGGTACATGGGAGTGTAGTTAGTAGTTAAAATAAGGACCCCCTAAAAATTACATAGGTAAGTATTCAGGCCTGTACATTATGTAGGTTCTTTTTGATAAGGGGTTCGGTCTTAGGATTTTCCGGGTTAGGGTTTGGGTGTCGGGCTCAGGCGTTGAGGGCTGGGGTTTGCTATATAGGGGCATTGCGGCCGTGTGCTCAGCAGCTCGCTGTTAGGGCCTCTGTCGTTCAAAAACTACTTTCCTATAGGGGCATTGAAGCTTGCAGGAACACGGATTGACCCCTGCCACCCAGAAAGGAATCTCCCTGAGAGCGGATGCTTCTTGCAAAAGCTCCGGCTCTTGAATCCGTGAGACAAGGGGCGCATGGAGAGTTGAGTTCCAACGGTTTAGGGTTTAGGGACTCTCAACTTCAGCTTATGGCTTTGCCAGGGAAAAAGGAGGAGCCTGCACATGGCTGTAATTCAACATGCTTTAGCCATCAAGGCTGAAATGTGCCGAGCGCCCCAACCAAGACCCAAACACCCTTCTCCATGCTCCCCATCGCTAACCCAGAGACTCCAATATCCTTTAATTGACGAATATTCCTTAAATTATGGAAGGATCCCTTATATGATTTAAGCTATATTCCTTTATTAAGGGATATTTGGGTCTCTGGGAACCCCGAGCCCAGCTCCTCTTGTGTCAAAGAGCAAACCTCGCCCCCTTGCGCCGCCAATGCTGCTGGCTGCAACGACCGGCATCTGACCTGCTTCGGTGCCGGGCTCCAAAGCTCTACATACCTTGAGCTTTCGGGCTAACGCGATCATATGAGTGCTTGAAATAAGGATACCGATGCTAATACCTGGGGTCTGAACATGTCTAGACCTTGAATCTCCAATTTTTGTTGCCACACTTCTGTATGGAAGTACGCTTACCACCCTGGTGGTTTAAGCAAAACAGGAGTGGCCACAGAGGTGGGTTTCGGTTTCAAGACGTTACCGCTTGTTTCCGGGCTGTTCAGAAGAGCTTCGATTCCTTGCGGTGCTAATTGCAAACCTTCGGGTCCCTGTGCAACATGGGAGTTTCCGAAAATTAGGGGTACCTTATTTTGGGGTCCTTGTCTTCAGGATCCTGCAATTTAGGGTACTATATCAGGGTCCCCTAATTTTCGGAAACTCCCACATTGCTGGCTTCTACTATCCAGCTCTACTTAAACTCACACTCTAAATGCTAAGCCCAGAGCCCTTGCGTCCCGGACCCACAACTTTCAAGTTACCACAGCCCTAGACACACCAAAATCCCAAAATCCAAAACCTAGATCCCCTGAGAAGCCCTTTTCGTCCTTCAACCCCCTCTCTGGAGTTTTAGGAGTGCTCCCTTTTGGGAATTCGGGCTCAAGGGTTTTTAAGAGTTTTGGGAGTTTTCGTGTCTTGCGGTTTAGGGCTTTTCGGTGTAGAGAGATCTCGGGGTTTTAAGGGATTTAGGGCATAGGATCTGGGTTTGCTCCCGAACACGAGCCGGCGATGCAGGGGAGGACAGCCGAAAACGACTAAGAAGCGGTCCACGTCGAAATTGCTGGGGTTCGTACTTTCCGTTTTAACTTAGTTGCTGAGTTCATAATCGCAACAAGCCGCCCACTTTCAGCTCTAGAAGGAGTCATGTTATCCCCCAAAGAGTATAAGGTGTATTGTATTCATTCGGCTACTAGGTAAATGTAGGAACCTGATTAAGAAACCTTGGGCCTCTGTTAGGGTTCCTTACGTGAATCCTACTATTTTGGGGTTGTATAGCCCAGGGTTTCTTAATCAGGTTCCTACGTTAGGGCCTCTATAATATCAACCCCGGCCTTCATTCCCGTGGATGCCCGTGTCTTCCGGAACCCCGAGCCAATCCAATCCTGCAGACCGTTTCGTTTCTTGGGGATTTGGGGTTTTGGAACTTTCGGGCCTCAGGGCTTCAGGAGTTTAAGGCTGTGGGTTTTTGTGGCTTTTGGGCTTGAAAGTTTGAGTTTGCAGGTAGTTGAGGGTTAGGGTCAAGTGTTTGACACTTTAGACAGGTTCAGGTGTAGTGGCTTTAGCAACTTTAGGCACAACAGAAATCGGGCGAAGTTCCGGCCTGGTGAAGGTACTTTCTAGTCTATTGGGCCGTGTACCTTCAAGCAGATCAGAGTTTCAATCATGCTGCGTTTGAGTGTAGGTTCCAAGCTCTTGGGTTTGGTGTTTGTTGGGTTTATAGGGTTGCGGTCGCGGTCGTCCAAGGCTTGAGTCGAGCAGCTATGCCATAATTCCATCACACAGGATCCGAGACATTTATTCGATTGCGCTGCATCGCCTAGCCCTGCTTGCATGATGTAGCCCACATGAACGAAGCAAGAGACCCTGCGTTGGTTCGCAGGCTCAATTCGTCATTCTGCCGGACTGCACTGCAATGTTGGGTGGAAACATATTATCCCAGTATCCAAGACCAAAATGCCCCATCTGCACGTCCGCTACGATCTCTGAACAAAAACTCCGGGCAGGACCCACCGAAGCAATGCACGCTGGAAAGGTCCAGGAGCTTAAGGTTTCGATCCTGGAAGTTGTGAAAAGCCCTGGTTCACGGCGGCCTTCGTCACAGGGGGCCGCCGTTCCCAGAAAGACAGAATGATCCTGGGCCTCCATGGCTCGAACCGTCTACTTCAAAGTTGGTGACACTGGCCTCGAAATCGTCAAGATCAATCAGCGTAGACATGGCATGGTCACAATCTCCGTAAGGTTTGCATATGGTTCTTTCTGAATCGTTGAGTTGGCGTGCAATTTCGGTGTTTGTCCAGCTGCTGCTTAGGCTTTAAACTAACATGGTGGAGCTCCAGATGGCATGGCAAGTGCCTGCAGCCACAGATATCAAGCTCCTCTCTTGGGGAAGAAGCCCTTAACCCCAAACCGCTAGACGCAACGGCCCTTTGCCCTAAAGCTTAAGCCTCGGCAAGCTTGCTACAGCTCAAAGTATACTCTTGAATCCGAGAAACTCCCTCAACCATCCTCGACCTAAAAAGAGCCAATTCGCCGACCTAACTCTGTCCTGGGCAGGGTCTGGGGTACAGGAGTTTGGGACCCTCAGGCGCGGACGATGCCAGCCACGAACTGTTCATCAACGGCAGTGATATCCCTCCCGCCAGCCTCGAATCCAACCCTAATTGGCCAACCCCTAGTTTTAATCCCAAAACTGTTCTCGTCCTTGTTGTTGTCGCTACGGGGTTGCTATGGCTGCTTGCGAACTATTGAAAATTGTTGTGAAGCGCCGGAGAATCCGGCACTTTCCTTTTCCTGTCCAAGATGGTTTCTTCGTCACCTTGATCAATCTTAGACCCGAACCTTATCATTGGCTAATCAAACAAAGGTTTTGCGAAAGGAGGAAAAAGATGTCAATCGTGATGTTCCGGAGCCCTGCATTTCCCATCACAGCCGCTGTAGGTCTGCAACTCATGCCGCACAGGCCAGCAGTGCAGCGGCGGACTCTCTTTCCGATCCTGATTTGCTCGGATTTGGATTTGGGGCCCGACTGGTTTGCTGATCTAAGCAACAAGGATTGCAGGGGGCATCCAAATGCAGCGACGGTTTCGAACAGAGTTTGCCTGACTTCAGTTCTGGTTTGGGTATTCAATGGATCATGCTTTCGATGATGGTTGCAGCTTCAGTCACCTTGAGCGACATGCACGTAGTCACTAAAGAAGAGGTAAACCATGGTTTAAACCAAACGCTTTAAACTCCAAATCCCAAACCCTAAACCGTAAATCCTAGACGCTAAACTCTAAACCCTTACTACCCCACAGCCGAAACCCTAAAGCTGTGAACCCCAAACTCAACACCCTAAGTCTTGGAGGTCTTGTCGGTAGCCAGGCGGCTGAAGAACTCTTGCAGACGAGCCGTCTCGTTCTCCAAAGCAGCATCCGCCCTCGGGTATTCTGCATTGAGGGTCCAGCCGCTTCTACGGGCTCAGAGGGATGTCAATTTGTCGGAGAGAGAGAGAGAGAGAGAGAGCTGGAGCAGCATCAGCATTTAATTTAGACCTTTGCGGCGTCGTCGAGTAAGTAGTAACAGCAGCAGCAGCTGTGGCAGCAGTAGGCAGTAGGTGGCAGTAGCAGTAGCAATAGCCGGAGAAGCAGCAGCAGCAGTGGCAGTGTAGTTTGCAGCAAAATACACCGCAGTAACAGCAGTGTCCGAGGCAGCAGGAATAGTACGATGCACAGTTGCACTAACTGTCACACGGTCTTCGTAAGAGTCTCCTCGACGTCGTAGACGCAGTCGTTGCCGCGGCTTCAACAGCTGGAGGAACAGGGAGGCCGAAGAGCAGTTGCAAGCATGACGCTGTGTCTAACCGGAAAATCACGCAAAATTTCTGAACACAAGTAGCGTGTACGGAATTATGACATGCCGTTACATTCCCCAAAAGCCGAGTCTAATTATGACGGTCTCTATGCAGGAACCCCTATAACACGCTTATAACGCACTCCTTCTACACAACCCGCTTACAGAAGCCTCATTTTGAACCCGGGCTCAAATCCGGCATCAGCTGGGAATCGGCAGCCAACATGACTACTGCATTGCAGGGGCCTCATAGAAACCCTACCGCCCCGATACTCGAGCCGAAGCCCAGGTGCTGGCGGTCGACGTGGGTCCGCCTTCGGCGGACATTCGCGGGCAAGAGCTCGCCAGCCGAGGCCTTCCGGGAACTGAGAAAACCAGAAGGTCAGAGTTTGTGGGTCAGAGCGCCTAGGGGGTGTAACCAGGGTCTTGCAAAGATTTTATGAAGGTTTTGCAGGGTCTCATAGCAATTTAGAAGAATTTTCGGAGGATCGTGTGGGGTGGTTGTAGAAGTCATACTTTACTGTCGCTGTTAACCCCAAAGCCCCACCCTAGATCCTCAAGCCCCGTAGGCGCCGCACCTACCCCAAAAACATCACCATGGTGGCTGACAGTTGGTAGCAGCATCCTGGCCCCCTCTCCCTCTCTCCCTCTCTCCCTCTCTCTCGCTCGCTCGCTCGCTCTCTCTCTCTCTCTCTCTCTCTCTCTCTCGCTCTCGCTCGCTCTCTCGCTCTCTCGCTCTCTCTCACCACAGCATGTCGCTAAGCCCAGTCCTGATGATAAAACCCCCTGCGCTAAGCAATTTACGAAACCGTATGAGCCCGTACAAAGCACTTTTCTAACTCTAACTGCAACGGCCACGGTATACCAAACCCCAAAACCCCTAAAACCCCAAAGCCTTAGGCTAGGCAAAGGTAAAGCCAAGATGCCGGAAGTCCCAGGAAGAGCAGCAGCTGGTCGAAGCAGTCCATCTGCTTTGAAATGAGCTCTTTAAATGGAAGAACCAGTAGCCGCTCCTGTGGAGGTTTTAGGGATGAATAGAGGGGCCATAATTATTAGGGTTTTGGGGCTGATTATCGTATAGTTATAACAAGGAACCACCAAGATTGTATAGGTAACTATTACGCAAATTACGCCCCTTATGTTAGTGCTTTCGGGTGAGAGGCATGTAGGATTCAGATTTTGAGAGCTTGGCTTTTTAGGGTTTCGGGTGGTTGTAGGTTTGATAAGAGCCTCAAGACCTGTTTGGGCGCCGGGTCCTCGAACCAGGCTCTGGGGTCAAAGGTTCACGGACTTCGAGCCTGTGAAACCCCCAGCATCGCGCTATCCCAAGGAATGCAAATGTCGGCAAGAAGGTGATCGATTGGGATTCCGAGTTTGAGAATTGCGGGCTGAAGGGTGCAGAATTCTGTTAAAGCCCCTGAAGTTTAAATCCCCAATCTCCAAACCGCCTGAGATCTAAGTATCCTGTGAAACCCCCAGCATCGCGCTATCCCAAGGAATGCAAATGTCGGCAAGAAGGTGATCGATTGGGATTCCGAGTTTGAGAATTGCGGGCTGAAGGGTGCAGAATTCTGTTAAAGCCCCTGAAGTTTAAATCCCCAATCTCCAAACCGCCTGAGATCTAAGATCTTCGACATCTCTGGACTTGGATAGAAATTCCATTGGCTAAGCGGGATACCTCAATTTATATCAGGACCTTTGAAGTATACCGCTCAAAGTAGGGAGTCTATTAAATTGAATCAGCATCCGGGGCATATGACAGTATCATTGCAGCAATCCAGCGACCGGCAGCCGTTCGGCATAATATGAACAATCATTCAGGCCACTATAGTATAGTAACCCGCTACAACCCGTGTTTTTCAACCTGTCGTTTCATTCAACTACGGTGTTTCATGGAGTTTTGCGTGAGCTCCTGACCCACAGCTGTGCGGAGCTTCCATAGGGCACGGCTGGGCGCCGCCGCGCCGAGGGACAAAGGAACACCCAAGCGCCAGGTGCTAAGCTCTAGCATGCCTGGGTTCAGGGTTCACTTACCTTTGGTTACTGGGGAATGGAGGAATGGGGTACAAGAATAACTACTGTTACTACCATTCTTCCATTCCCTACTAACCAAAGGTAAGTTCGAGATTCATGGTTCGAGGGCTTTTTCCTTAGGGTGTACGTTATTTGGGCAAAGCCACCTTATGCAGTTCCTTTTTGGGCGGTAAGGGTTCAGGGGTATAGAAACTCCAAATTTAGGTCATTCGATCATCCGGGTGAGGTTTTCGGGTCTGCGGCCAAGTTTTACACGTAGGAGAAGAATCCGAAAACCAGCATTCAGATTGTGCCATGGCTGACTGAACGATTGAAGTCGTGCCACTTGCTATCTTGAGAGCCCTAAGCGTGCACAGTACCACTTTAAGCACATCAGCATCGTCATTTTCATCATGACCGCAAGTAAGTAGCAGCAGTAACTCGCCTACCTCGTCTGGATCATAACTCCAGTCATCGGTGCCCCAAGCATGCTCAGGCTCAACGTCGTGACGAACTGCCTCTTCATCGAAGGCAACGAACCAACCAGTCGGAAACAGCTTCGAAGAGTGCTCATGGCAATGAGACCGACATAGACTCCTACAGCTATCAGACAAACCTTCCCGCATCACAGTAGAACCTGCAAGCCCTCCAAAGCAAATCTAAACCCATTCCCTGATATCCGGTTCATAGGCAGCCGAAGCACCACCTCCTTGCTCCTGCAGTGGCTGGAGTGTCGAGGGGTCTTCTTCCTGCGCAAAACGAGGCAGATATAGGGTATATAGGTAGGACTGTCTCGTGTCTACACACTGTATGAGTAGAACAAAAAGCGAAATACATGCATACCCACCTACCAAAGTACAGCCACCCATCCGCTATACATATATATATATATATATATATGTGTGTGTGTATGTATGTCTATTGAATTATTGTCTACGTATTTACTTTAGACATTTAAAATGCTCGCCAGCTCCCTCCTTCGTGGACTCTGCGAAAACGGACCACGCCCTGCCGATCTCCTCTGGCAGACAGTGGAGGCTTGCAGATAAACGGGGCCTTACCAATTCCTGGGGTACCTCATATGTATCGTATCGTCACTTCGCCCCTGATTAAACACCCCCGTGACAATGAACACACTTCCCGGGAAATCCCCCTGAAATCATCACGCCTTTTCAAACCTGTTTGAATGAGGGGGTGTAAGAGCAATAGCAAGAGCAAGAGTAGAAGCAAGAATTCTCCACAAGGTGCCCGCCCTTCCCTCTAATATGTTCGGGGGGTCGGATTAATCATATTCAGGAACCCGGAGGAATAGCACCATGCCTATTTCGGTCTTTGGGATTGCTCGCCGCTCAATGTTTTAGTGCCATGCTTCATGGTGGGGCTTAGGCTCTGGAATTGCCAGTTTGAAGCCCCGGCATGACTCACGCGGTGTAAAAAGAAACCAAACTTGGTTGTTGGGATGACAGGGTGCAGCTTCAAGGCTATTTAAGTTTATGCCTGGGGGCCAATACAGGGCACCAGTCGGTGAGACGTAGCTTGCTAGCCCTAAAGTCTACGCTCCCGACTCCGGCTTGCTTCAAAAGCAAACCAAACTTGTTGCCCTAAACCCTTGACCCTAAAGCCCTTCTGTAAAATCCCCAAATTCCCCGAAACCCCAGATTCCCCAAACCCTAAAATGTCCCAAACCCCCTGTTCGGGGCTGAGGACTCCTCCTCTGCGTTCTCGAAGCCTTCGAAGATCCGGTGGAGGGAACTCCAGAGCCAGTCCATGGGATCGCGCCAAACGGCGATTACTTGGAGGCCTTGATAGTTCGTTTAATTTAGGTTACTGTAGTGGGGATCTATAATGAATAGTATAGTCAGTATAGTCTGTCTGTTTATTATGGAGGTAACTTGATGGTTAAAATCTGGGTGTTTGGGGGTTTGTAGGGCTTTGCTGTGTCTTTATGGGGCCTTACAGTCTTGTTCATGTCATGTGTGGTTATATAGGGTGTCATAATGGGTGCTGGTGGTTTTATCGAGTTTGTATACATGGCTGTATAGGGTGTTAGAACGGGCTTGATCTATGCGTAGGGGCTTAGGGCTTCGGGGTTAGGCCTCGGGGTTGTGGGTTGAAGATCCAATACATATGTCGATGCAACAACAAGAAGGGAAGGTAGGTAGGAACGAACGAATCAGGATTGAAGGAAGCAAGGAAGGAATGGAGGAACCACCAAACGAGCGAACCGAACCGTAATGATAACACTGGCCGCAAGTACACGATCACCACAAGTGGCAGTCGCAAAATGCGCACTTGTACCAACACTAAGTGTTTTGGTGTTCGTAACAGTTATATAGTGGGTCAGATCAACAAAAGCTGCAAGCGACAATAGTACATCAGTACACCACCATGGCCATACAAACGAGATGCATGACAATATCACCAATTCGTTCAGCTGTGATGACACGGAGGGCTGCAAACACAGACAGTTACATAATCGTAGCACCGTGCACAACCATTCCCAGCTAAAGCGACACATTTGCGAGGTCTCTCAACCATTTCGCTAAACCCCTTTTGCATCAGGACTTGTGCAATCGCCTGAATACATTAGCGAACCCCTAAACCCTAAACCCCTATACTCGGTACTCACTGGCAGGAACCACCCGCGCGAGCTGAATTGCAGAAGATCGGCCCGGAACGAAGAGGAGGTTGCGCAAGCAGCTGGAGCTGAAGATGATTTTCGGGTTCCGGAAGCCCACCTGATGTGCAGAGGATGCTCAGCCGACTCCTATCCACTAACATACAAACCTGAAAAAACTAAATCAAATTGCGTAGGGTTCCCTACAGTTAGCATGCTATATACCCCTAACCTCTACTCCAATTATCCTTGGCTGCTAAACCCAGAAAGTTTAAACCGATTCAACAAAATACTCTGCCCTACAGCACCACACATCTATGTCGATGCAATATTGGTGAGAGTAGCAAGGTACGGTGATCTAGGAAATGATGACAGGCTCGGAGGCTGTAACTATAAGTATGCAAGAGACACTCTTTCCTTCAATTCCTTCTGCATCTCGTCCCAGTAGAAACCCTCGACCCTAAACTCCTCAAACACCCGAAACCCTACACATCCAAAACCTTAAACCCTAAACCTACTATAGATCCCTTATAGACCCCTTCAAAAGGAACCTTTTAAAGGGAGCCTAAACTCGACCTCAAAGGATACACCTGTAGCCTGACTCATCGGTTGCAGAGGAATGGGGCACAATTATAACTACTATTACTACCATTCTTCCATTCCCTACTAACCAAAGGTAAGACTTAGGGTTTAGGGTTCAAGGGCTTAGGGTTTAAGGTTCAGGGTGCGGGGCTTGGGAGTAGAGTGCTTAGAGCTTGCAGCCGGAAGAGTTGGAATTTTGAGTGTTTGAGTAGAGCTCACACTGAGGCAGCTCTAGGACACAGCACCTTGGCTTACGGAAACGAATCCCGATAATGAACCCCCCAGACCCCCAGCCTAAATCTTAAGGCCCCAATATCATAGAAACTTTATAGAACCCGCTAAACAACCCCTTAAAAAAGAACCCAAACCCAAAGAATTCGCAAGACGCGGTCCGAAGACTCTCCCAGACCCTGGGCTCTTGTTGATCATGGAATAAGGGTTCCTATAAGGGACCTATAAGGGTTCTATGAGGGGTTTAGGGTTTATACCTACTTGTCGGGTATCATGGGGAACTAAAGGTTAACCTCTTTGGTTGTATAGGGATTATATAGGGGCCATACTACCCCAAAAAAGGTTAAAGGTTACATACTCTACTGCTGGGACGTAGTGTAAACTACCGTAGCAAGGAAACCACATTTCTTAAGTGGCAATTGCGGAAACCCTGTAATTTAAGTTTCCTCAGTGAGGAGACCATTCTACATCCCAGAAAGACCCTCTGATGGAAATTCGGAAGCAGGCCCTGATAAAGGGGCCTCAAAAAAGAAGGGTTTGGTGGGTATTATACTCCAACCAGACTAGGAAATCTCATAGTATGATACTGCGAATCATGCAGGTCCAAATATTGCACTACAAGCCCTGGATGGTAAGAACTTGATCCTTTGCGGCCCAGGAACGAGGCCTGTTGGCTCCCCAACATCGTCAACCTACGATCCAGGACTCCAGGAATGAAGGGCTTGAGGGGAGCCCTGAGCCCTGCTACCCTGAAGCTCTAAACCCTAGAGTCCTACAGCCGCAAGCCCTGAACCCTTCAACTCTGAGGGATCTTGGCATTCATGACGGCAGGACTTCTAGCGTTTCTGGTGAAAGGGGTGGTTGCTGCCATTCTCCAGAGGATGACATAACTAACCCTAAATAGAACGAATATTCATAAAGCATTAACCATATTGTAACAACCACAGAGTATGCGTCTCGTCTTGCTTAGGCTACTGCCAAAGATTATTATGAGAATAGACCGTTTCCATTTTCTCAAGTTTGGGGTTTCGGGTTGGATGCTGATGGTTTTCCATGAGTTAGGTGCATGGTTATAGGGTGGCCTATGGTGGGTCATGTGGTTGAGTTTCTGTTGGGTCTAATGTGGGCTTTTGTTGAAGATATGGCCTAGTGTAGGTCGGCTGATTGAGTTTCTGGTGGGTCTGATGTGGATGGAGCGAGCTTTGAAGGCTGATATGGCCTGGGGGGTGCGGTGGGAAAATGGAAACGGAGCTCGCTAACATTTAGAGCCCATACCAATGTTGCTAGAGCCGCATAGAACTTGCCAAGTCTGAGCTCTGCCTCGCGCCGCCGTAGAAGTCCCAGGCCCTGCCAGTGACACCGATGTAACCCTCAAACCTCCCAGGCCTCACCCATGCAAAGCATTGCAACTCTGTGCTCTGTTGGGGCTTGGGTCGGGTTTCGGGCTTGTGGAGCTATAGACCTGTAGAGAAGTGGCATCCAGATGCGGGGTGGGCGGGGGGCTGTCGCTGAACGGCCACCAAAAGTAGCGAACGTCCTGGACCTGAAAGTGCTACGGCCTCAGGCCTCAAAGGCATATAAGGCAAGCCTTTGCATCATTGGTGCCACTCCGAGTCGGCTCCTCTGTAGTCACGGTCGTCTCGCCTTGGCCCACCCGGCAGGTGGCAGCAAAGGCGCTGTGCACCGCCACTGCCAAGATTCCTGCACGCAAGTTTGAGGCGACTGCGGGATTGAGGTTTCATATGGGAGTTTCCGAATATCGAGGCAACTTGTGCAACTTATTTAAGGGCCCTTGTAATACGGATCCTACTATTTAGGGTACTTTATCAGGGTCCCCTATTTTCGGAAACTCCCATATACCAACCAGATCTCAAACAGACAATTGGCCAAAACACATCCAGCTACACCAGGTCTTTGCACTCTCCACGGTCCTCGTACGTCAGGTCCTGAGCTCTTACACAAACCCCGAACTGGCAAACTGCAATCGGCCTCATGTCCCCTCACCAGGTCTAAACTGCATTCAGCCGACTACGTGCACGCTCAAACTTAGCCTCGAACCCCGAAGGACAGCTTACAATAATGGGGCCTGAATAATTATGGGTAAGTGTTGTGCTTTGCGCTCCATAGAAAAGACAGCCTGGAGTATGTTTTAGAATCTTATGTGATTGACTCGGTTCCCACATGGCCTGAACCATCCCATTTCAACTTCGGCAAACCCAGACCGAGAGTCAAAAGAAGCAAAAACAAACAATGCGATTCTGAACCTTCCCGCTTCCCGCTGCATGGTCCTCGCTTCGAAGCCAGGAGACCGGTAAGGGCATCTCCTTGCTTGGAGGTTGGTGGGTAGCTAAAAGTGGGGTTATAAGTCCCATTGTAATATGGTTATAAGTATATATATATATATGTATATATATGTATATATATGTATATATATATATATATATATATATATATATAACTTATGACTCCACTCATAACTACCCATGGACCTCCAAGTAAAGCATCAGCAGCTCCAGAAAAGTTTCGGGCTTTTATCTGCTTCTTCGCCGTCCTACACTCCTCTCTTTGGAACTTCGCTGTCCTACACTCCTCTCTTTGGACAGTGACCCTTCAACCCAGCACTCCGAAACTTACACGCAAAACAAGCGGCCAGAGCAATCATTGCATTATGTAGGAAAGGGTTGTGGTGAACTGCAGGGGTATAGTCTCACCAATCGCTCCGACCCCTATGTCCACAAGACTCAAGGGTCATCCGCACCGCCCAGGAAGTACGCACCCAGCTCTTGCAAGCTCCGGTGGAGGGAGGAAGTACCAGCGTTTGGAGGTCCGATCTTGGTGGAAGGGTATTAAGGTGCTAAGGTTTAGGGCTTTAGGGTTTGGGTTCTAGGGTTTGCGGGGTGTATTGGTATGCAAGTGGCTGTCGAAATCAGGGTCTTTCTTTGCGGGCTTTCTGGCTTCCATACGGCATCAAGCCGATGAGAGAGTCGATTGGTGGCATGGTTTGATCGCAAAAACCCCAACAGTAGGGGTTGAGGGTTTCGGAGTTTAGAGTTTTGCATCTCGTAAGTTGTCAAGGATAAGTGTCTGTTCCTGCGTGCCAAGTCAAGCATTTCAGGGTTGGGGTTAAAGCAAGGGTCCCGGGTCCGTCTCGAGGGTGGCTCCCAAAACAGCCTCAAGCCGTGCACCGTTACCCTAAACCCTGCATGCTGGGACCTACCCTTCCCCAAAATCATAATCCTTTACCCCGGATCGTCAACCCAAAACCCCTACTCTCAACCCTATACCATCAACCGTTTTGCACTAAACCGCCGACCCGACACTTCGTATCCTAAAAGCTGCACCTAAACCTGAATCGCCACGGTTCAGCCCTAACCCTTTACCATATAAGCCTTGAACGCACCCAGCTGTCTGGCAGTTCCATTTTTAAAAGCAGGACATGCTTGGGCTGACCGTCATGACACCAAGGGAGGGATTCCGGGTGAAAACTTGCTGTTGCTGCAGGGGGAGAGTTTGTAAGGAAAGGGTCGAACTTGTCGTCTGCAGCCGTAAACTCAAAACCCCCAAACCCTAAACCCCGAACCCCCATGTAAGCCCTCAACCTTCTTGCTACTGGACTCAAGTCTAGCCAGTCTACGACCCGGAAACATCTTGACCCAAGCCCTCCACCTAACCCGAAAGGCCGAAACCGCCAAGGCACAATGCCGAAGTTGATCTTCAACTCGCTCCAGTGCACTAGCTCCTGCGCAGACACATCAGACCAAGAGTCGGGATTTAGGGTTTGAGATTTGGGATTTGCGGGTTTGAGATTTGGGATTTCGGGTTTGAGCTTTGGGATTTTAGGCTTTGAGATTTGGGATTTAGGGTTTGAGCTTTGGGATTTCGGCGCTCACACTCGGACAATCCAGGCGAGCTTTGGGATTTGGGGTTTGAGCTTTGGGAGTTAGGGTTTGAGCTTTGTGATCTAGGGTTTGAGATTTAAGCTCTCGCAACTGGGACGCATCCAGACGAGGTTCTTAGTCGGCAGGTCGGACAACTACGGCGTATTCCCATCGGCATTGAAAGACAGCTCGCAACGCAAGTTAGCGCCACTCAGCACATGCCAAGGGGGTTACGCCTAGACTGGGAGGCACTTCTCAGTGAAAGAGCCCAGGAAGCCCTCACACCACTTCTGAAAACAGCGCAACAAACGGTAAGGCCACAGAGTACGCAGTGTGAGCACTCCCAGAAAGAGATCTATACTACACCCAGCTACGAATTCAAGAGGGGTTAGGGCTGATGCTTCGGTTACTATTTATGGCGACGAGGACTACATGCGACTGGAGTGGGTCGAGGACGAACAGCTGTCGACATCACGCCGCAGCTCAAGCATCTCGGACATGTAGAGCTTGCTAGACACCACGTTAGTTAGTTGGAAGCTTGGGTTTTAGGATTGTTTAGGCCTCAGGAAGGGACCCGGCATACAGATATTGAAGAGCGGAAGAAACGGTAAGACCAGGACATATGACGGAGTTTTGAACGTGCGAGTCTATCTAGCATCCGGCCTTCTCGTAGCCTAATTTTGATTAATGAAAGGCTCCACTCGGCTCTGGAAGACCGGAGTCGGTCTGGGTGCCTCGATATGGATGCCGGACAACTCGTCCTTATGGTACTCGGACCACCACAGGATGAAATTACGCAGGAGACTCCGTGCGCGTAGCATTCCTGCAAAACACCGTCAACCAGATCGCTGCAAGGCTGCAGCTAACGTCCTACACGTGTTTCACTTTCCTTGTCCTTTTCCACCTGATCAAACAAAAATACCAACAGAGCCCCAAACAGCCTGTACAATCAGCAGTCATGTCAGGCAACTACTTATTCGGGATGCCTTCATGACGTCACTGCTGCCAAGGCTCAATATGATGTGCCCGGTTTCCCGTGACCGTGGACAACGGCACCGATCGAAACAGTTCAGCCGCCGACGCACCCAAGGCTGTTGCGTCGCAAGCCTGGTCTTCACTATGCCACCCCACAGCTCTCCTCAGCCTTATAAACTCCGAAAGCTCAAAAAGCTAGAAGAATCGAGGAAGATGCCTGGAAGATACCAAGAAGAACTCGCTTGCCGAGTCCCCATATCCAGAGTTCAAGGTTTTCTCGCTGTAGGTTCACCCAACAGGACATAAGCTCACTCTGCTTTCGCACGTTCTCGAGACCTACTTGGAGGTTCATGGGTAGTTATAAGTAGGGTTATAAGTCCCCTAATATGATATAAGTACAGTGAACCTCCAAATAGCAGGCGGCTCGTTGCGAACACGGCGCTGCCGGGAGACAAACGCCCAGCAGCCTTGGCCCCAAAGCATTGGAGGACGGTTCAGAGCCGAGGCAAAGGGAGGTGTCCCGATTCTCATGTCATTAAGCCGCACTATGATGTATGTAGTTCGCAATACAACTTTGATACAGCTACAGCTTGACTACGTATACCGAGCCGCAACGGAACTATAATAGGCTGTCAATAACATGTCCACATTGAAATTTGCTATAATTCATGTAAAGCCCCAAAGCCTGAATGCGACAGCCTCAATACCTAGGGGCGAGAACCTCGAACTTTTCAACCCACTGTTGGGAACTTCAACCGTGAACCCGGAACACTCCTGAAAAGATCATTGAATGGTTCAAACACACTCCCACTGACTACAAGTAGTAGCCCCTTCAATAGCTGTCTGAGCAACTTTTCGAGCCTTCAAGTAACCCTCACAGCGAACCTTACAGCTACTTCTATGTTGAATAAACCCTTGCAGAAACCCGCACAAGGGCGAGTATCCCTAAACCCTGTAACTTGAATCCTAAGCCGCAAGCCCTAAAACCTAGCCCCCAAACTCCCGAAACCTTCAGCCCGAAATCGACTGGTGACATGTCCTCAGCCCGGAACAACCTTGCAGAACCGCTGTGGTGGAACCCTTTTCCACAGGCTTGATTAGTGCTCTGATGGAACCCTAAACCCAGAAAAAACCAACCCTTTTTGCATCCAGGCCTCTTGAAGTCTTGCCGGGGAACCCTAAACCTTTAAACCCCACACACTAAAACCCTGAACCTCTCAGCTCCAGCGAACCCCTGTGATGGAACCCCTCTCTCTCTCTCTCCCTCTCCCTCCCTCTCTCTGTCTCTCTCTCTCTCTCTCTCTCTCTCTCTTTCCCAGGCATGGAACCCTAAAGTCCCAAACCCATAATAAAAACCCTTGAGCCCTAGCGGCCACATGTCCATGCCCAGCACAGGCGGCCCCTCGAACTTTGGAGGGGCTGCCAGGCGCAGGGCGAAGCATCGCACCTTCGGACCTTAAGGATGCGAAAAGAGGCCCTAAGACTTAGCTGTTAAGGGCTTCAAGGCGCTTTGTCTAGGTAGAAGATATCGGAGTTTGTAGGGTTTGGGCTTTGTAGGGCTTTTATTATGGCCATGAGGAGGACAACAAGATTGAAGTGCGGGTGTTTCGAATTTCTATAAGGGCTTCATAATTCCTCACCTAAGAACCTAATTGGCTTTTCTCGGGCTTAGGGATTTAGAGCTTAGGAGAGAATAGATAATCTTCAACTTATAGGTTTAATATTGATACGGGACTGAGTGACTTCAATGGGGCTGGAGTGTGCTATAGTACAGTCATACGTTGGTGCTGTAGCGCGAAAAATATATCACCATTCATCCAGGCCCGTATATTTGGGGTTTATAAAGGGGTCGAGATGGAATGTGCTCTGTCTCGGCAAGCCCTAAAAGTGCTTCGGGTTGACGATGAAAAGTGCTTCGGGTTGACATCCAGCGCCAAAGCTGGACACGCTTTTCTGACCGAAGGCAAGCTTAAACGTCCCAAGCGTCTTTGAAAGTCTTGCTTCATCTCTAAGCGGCTCCTACCGTGAAGCAGGAAGGCCGAAACCCGAGTCTACTTCGTTGCTTCAGAGGAAGGAAGTTCGGGCCTTTCAAGATCGGGGACGTCTTGAGACAACCAGGCTTGCCTTTCAAGCCTGCGTGTTGCCACCCTACATGCAGACCCCATGATAAAACTCTATAGTGCTACAGTACCCTAGGAGGCACCCCACTACCGAACCCCATAGTACCCTTCTAGGAGGATCATTGCTATAGTTGTTGTAAACCACTGCACACACGCACTGATGATACCCGTCCAAATGTTAAGGACTAGCGCAGCTGTACCATTGGGTATCTACGCCTTTTTACCCTCAGAGCACTTGTGCCACAATGTTGCATACACACACAACATGCTACTTCACACGTGCACAAATTACACCCCCCTCGCCGAAGCGTCAGTCTGAGGCGCAAACATGCACGGAAGCTTGGTGCTGTGTGGCCTGCCGTAAAGGCGGCTGAATTGTGGCTCGGGGCTCATAGGCTTTCTACTACCGTAAAGTGGAAGATACGGAAGCAGATTAATTCTTTTAGCGCGCGGTTTAAAGTCGCGACATGCATTATAAAATGGCGACGATCCAGCAAGCCTTGATTGATGGCGTGGATACAAGTCGCAAGAACGTGTGCAGCGTGGGACGAATACATCATCCTCTGGAGCTGCTGACTGTTCGGATTTGTCACAAAGTGACTGCCAGGAAATACAGAATGAAATTTTTCTGGTCTTAAGGAAATTCGGCCACCTCTAGGAGGGGCTGTATTTCGGAGTACCGGTTAACGTGACGGAACCACGAAATGACGATCAGGTACTTAGTACCATCCTCGGGAACCGGAGGAGCGGCCATAGGGGTGGGACCCGCGTTGATAGCCTTGGTCCCACTCCTGCTGATAGCGCTGCTGCTCAGCTCGGCGTGCATCGGCCTTTGCTTGTGCGATGCGAGAACGCTCCGCATTGCGTTGGCGTTCTTCATATGCACGGCGTGCAATTCCGACCTGTACCGCGAATTTCCCACGGAGCCACTCAGTCCAGTCCTCAGCAGAATAGCCGAGTCGTGGATCAACGTAGAGTGCCTCTTCTGAGAAAGTAACAATCATTTTCACGATTTTGTGCTGGAGGAAAACATCTACGAATTTACGCAAACTGTATGCCCCTCCCAGCCACATGATGCAAAACGGATCGTCACTCACTGCGGAGATCAGGCCTGCCCTAAGGGCGGCTGGATTGCACTCGTGCAAATAGAGCAACCGAGCAATCTCCTGGTTCCTCGGCCCTTCGGAGCTTCCACCGTAGGTGCCGACAGCTAACTGTCGTTGCTCCTTCGAACGGCCATGGTTCGGCAGTGCAGCATGCGTAAGCACGTCTTCGATGGCCAGAAACTCACGATCGTACCCATTGCCGATGGAACTCATAGTGTAGTCCACATCATTGTCGAAGCGGTGTACGATGCTTGTGTAGCCTCCTTTTGTCGCCATCTTTAACTGCTGCCTGGCCTTGTCCAACGCCTCTGCGTCAAGCGACGTAGTTCCACGCTGCGTTGAGGAGTCTCTGGTCATTTCATGGATGACCTCCTCCGGCGTCAGCTGGGAACGTGGCTTGCCCGCGGTGGCTGCGGCGGCCTCTTCAGCGAACCATCGGGCCGTACGCACTTTCTTGCGTGCGTTTTGCTGGGAAGGCTTCACTATGTGAACGCCACAGCTCAGGCAGATCATCTGTCCCACAAGATGCTGCGCACCGCAGTGGGGACATGCCCTGTGGCGGCCACCCGTAACGGGGGCTGGAGGGAGAGCCAACGGAGTCGATTCCGGCTGAGGCGGTGCCTGCTCGAACATCGGCTCTACTTTGGCCTCTTGTTCCTCCTTTTTCACATTGCCTTCTTCATCGTCAATCTCGATCTCGACCTCGACAGGTTCCTCTGGCTCAAGGAAACGCACTCGCTTTCTGGACTCAGTTTGCACATCTGGTGGCGATGCGCCCCCCTGATCCAATGTTGCCGTTTCCTCGGGAAGGAAGTCGGAGGCCGTGGCGTCATTGAGAGCGAGGGGTGCCAAAGATGCTGACGGTCCCCCCTCAATCTCAACTTCAACCATGGGTTCGTCTGCCGTTGCAGACGCTGCTGTTTCAACCTCTTCATGGCCACCACTAAGTGGGGCTGAAGGTTCCTCCGGAACATCGGGGAACTGCTCCGGCTCAGCTGCTCCAGGATCGACGATGGGATCCTGGGCAGTCTCCGGAATGATTGTATCCTCCTCCTCGCTGGATTGACGAGACCACAGGATGATGCCTTTGATGGTGTCGCGGATGTAGAGCACACAAGTCCCCGGCACCGGATCGCGAGTGAGTATGCCTTCGGAAGTTGTCTCGAAGAGGTACGCATAGCGGTTGACCTCCTGAGTGTCGAGTACAATTTCGTAAGGCAGGTTCGCTCGGCTGCCAGCTTTATTCTCAAGTTCGCTCAGGGTGGCTTTGGCGAAGTAGTTGTGGAACTTGCCGCTCCTGTTGAACCCTGGCGTAAAGCCAGAAGAGAGAATATTGAAGGCTGCATCATGCGTCGTCCTGTGGTAGAGACGCGGGGGAAACTCCCCGAGAGCAAGGAATGGCCTGCCTTGATAGGCGGCTGTAGGTCCAAGCTCCTCTCGCGTATCGTTCGTGAACCAATGCAGCGCAATGGAGGCATCGGTCACTTGGTCCTTGATGCGTTCGCTGTGACCATGCGAAGCACAAATCCAAGAGGGCAAAATGTCCGTCTCAATGAAGTCAGCACGCGGATCGGTGGGGAGGCCTGCCAAGTTAAACCTCGATTTGTTATCGTAGGCGACTATGGACAAGATACCTCGTGTTCCCAGATCCACACGGTGCTTCTTCCACATATGCTGAATGAGTTCTTGGATGCGAATCCATTTCCCGCGCCGTGAGCTGAGCTTCACGTTCGACCCTCGGACAGCACCTGTGAGGTAGCGCTCAACGTAAGGTTTGAGGCCCAACTCAGGGAGGTGGTCCTTCGGGATCGAGTCGGGGAGGATCTGAACGATCTCGCTCCCCTCCGGATCCTCTGGGCACACATCCTCGTCAACGAAGCCACACATTTCCATCAGGTCCAAGTCGTCTTGGTACTTTACCCCAATGTAGTCGTGTGGGCGAGCCCTTAATAGGCCGCTGGAAGGGTCCCGGTCCTTCTTGGTCATGCCCTCTTTTGCCGCTGACAGAGTACGGTGAGACTCTGTGCGGTAAGGGATGGCCTCGATGACATCGTCAAAGGACACCTCCGGTACGTCGCGAGATGATGCACTGCCAGATGGGCCACCACTAAGTGGGGCTGGATCCTTCCGCTCAGCACGGGCACGTGCGTCCGCCTGCTCTTTCGCGCGCTTTTGCGCCTGTTCGCGAGCTGTGGCCCATTCCCAATTCAGGACATCCTGAGGGACCTCACGCATTCCAGTGACCGGAAGATCAGGTGGAGGAACATAAGGGGATTCCCATGGATCAGGGCATTCGTTCGCAGCTTCGCGAATCTCGGCCTGCCTTAAAAGGCGGCGGGAGAGCTGGGACCGATACAGTGCCTTGTCGAAGACATACTGCATGGAATACACCCGCGTTCCTTCTGGATCAAAAGGAAAACGGCGGGCCAGCTCGTCCAGCGTCTCTGCGGGCATCTTCGCGAATAAGTGGTCAGCTTGACACACTTTAATCCGCTGTCCGATCACAGAGGCCAAGGCTGCGCGATGTGTTGAGTCTTCGCGGAAGTGGTAGTGGTCGTGCTTCGGGATCTGGCATACGCTTTCTTTGAGAGAGGCGGTGTATAACCCCCTACTCCTTGCGTATCCGAGGAATTTTCGGATAGCTGTGCGGTACTCTGCTGGCAGCCCGTAGTCCAGTGGGTCGGCATCCGAGAGGATTTGCACTGAGCCCACCGTTGGCCTGCCCTGAAGGGCGGCTAGACGGCCAATTTCACCGCACACACGTGCGGCAATGTCCGCCCAGATCCCTTCTGCGGCAACGCCTTCAGGACCAATCTGCCAGTGTGGCGTCCCTGGGTCGACGAAGACTCCTCTACGACCGCACAGTTCGTTGCCCATCCAAACCACAACGATATCGACCTCGAGATGCAAGGGGTTTAACGATTCGTTGATGATCTGCGGCAAGAGCGTGTGAACTGCCTCAACGATCGAGTGGAGGTTGCCTCCCCAAATCGCCTTTTGTCGGACATTCGTGTATTGCTGAAGGATATGACCAGGCCCCGTCAGAGCTTTAAAGTCGTCCGCCATCTCAACGAATGTTCTCGCCCCAGCCTTGAAAATGAGGGTAGAGTCGGAAACAATGATGCAGGCTTTTTCGCGGCCTCGGCTATCGCCGGGCTGGAAACGCGACAACCCCTCGTCGTTGATCCGTGCCACCTTAGGGAGGGCCTTATAGCCATGATCAACATCT